CAATGCCTCACCACAGCCACAAGTACCAAGCACTTCTAGGAGGAACTTCCCTGTTCCCTGTCCCCCACCTTTTTTTTTTTTTTTTTTTTGGTACTGGGGATCGAACCAGGTCCTTGCGCTTACAAGGCATGCAGCTGAACCACTGAGCTGAATCCCCAGCCCCTGTTCCCTTTTTATATTTTAACAATCAGTATGTGTGTACAGTATGTGGGAAAATAACTCATAAAACCCTTTAATCCAGATAACAGTAAAAAGAAAACACTACCTTTAAGAATGAACTTAACCTGAAGCATAACACATGTAAAATGATTTATCTGCATTGATGTTTTCACCATAATAGTCGAAGGCTCTGTCATGCCAAAAGTATTAACAACCACCTATTAAACTTCATGCTTAGTTTATTTTGTTTTATTCAGTTTTCATTTTCCAAAATTGGCAATATATCATTGTGTGATATATTTTCAGGTAAAATATTAAATTAGGTCAATCATTCTATAAATTTACTATATAAATTATAATTTATACTGTTAACATTTTATTATAAAACTATGGACTTTTTGTTACATTTTTAAAATTCTGAACCTATTTAATCATTTATCTAGAATCACTATTTTCTCTTCTTTCTCCCACTTAAAAAAAATCTCTGAAATAGTTTTAGAGAAAACAATATGGTTAATGAAGTTAAAGGCCATATATATAATATATATTATATATTATATAACAACTTGCAATCCTCCTGTACATAAAATTTTTAAATGATTAGTTAACTAACCTTTTCTCCTTTATTCATAGAATAATTTCATATTCTGAGATGTATCTGTTTATTTATGGATGAACATTTTCAGATTTAGAATCTCTTGCTGGAATCCACATAAGGACAATTTTTGGTGAAATATCTCTCCTAAATATCACTGTTAATAATGTCTTATTCTCACTGAGTTCTCAAAGACACTGGAAAGTGAGGTTCAGAAGACACCACTCTGATCTGCAGCCCTCTTCATGGAGAATCGATGATAATCCATATATGTGTGTAGCACATGAAGCATACAGGCTCTGCCCACAACTATTGCGAGTCACTGAGTAGTGGATAAGGCACCATAAGGAGGACTCTTGTCATTCACTAGTCAAGCCCTAGACGATCTTGTGGGGCAAGACAAACAAGCCTATATAGTAAGAAGACCACAGTCAAGCTTTGGTAGCAAGAATTAATTTTTATTAATCTTCTAATGAAAGCAGTAAAATTTTTTAAGATAATCTTAGAGAAAAATCATAGTCCATTCTCACTGTATGATTATTTTCAATTTTATATTATTTCTATTTATAAAAAATCGAGGTATATTTAGCTAGTTGCTATCATAGATATTATGTATTCTGCTTCTTTCAACTAACTTCATATCACAATCATGTTTCCATATTTGTATGTAATTTTCAAAACAGTTTTTTTTTTTTCCAATCTCTATTACTCTACAACACAAGCTCTATCTGGACTCAATTCCAAAACTGACATTAAAACATCTGAGTGGCTACTTCTTGCTCTAAAACTGGTTGAGAATGGATCTAGAAAAATCCATTAGGCACATAGTACAGTTACAACCCGCAGAATTACAATGCTATGTAAATTAAACAGTTACCAATAAACCCAGGCAGACATTTTAAAAAACACACCACTCAGTTTTACAAAAGAGGACCTGAAAATACTTTCTAACCAATTTAGAGGCAGAATGACACCACGACTAAAAACAGACTGTGGGGGCTGGAGGCGCTGCTCAGTGATAGAGCGCGTGCAAAGAAGACCCTGGTTTCAAACTGTATCAGCCACCCCCAAACCAGACAGAACTCCAAACCATAATTCTTCGCCTGACATCTCTAGGGTTGGTCTTGAAAATAACCTACATGCAAAGGAACTAATTTTAAGAACAAGCACTTCAGCTTGCCTCAGACACATGTGGTAGCTAGGAGTTAGCATAACTCCACCCCAAGAAAGAGATGATCATTCTATTTACCTACTTATCCAATCTCTATGAACTTTTGATGAATATAAATTTTATCTTTCTTTAAAATTAGTACAAAGTATACATACCAACCCAAGAAATATTCTCTATCAGGGACTAAGCTATAGAAAGACTAATTATAAGTAATAAGGTTAGAAGAAAAGCAACACTTCTTTGTAAGCTGAGCTGCACCAGCAAATTTTCTCTTCATTTTCTTTCATTTAACATAGTTCTCAAGACATTTGAGTGAAACTGGGCCTCCATTGATAAGCAAATAGCCTGAAAATAATATTTTTAAAATGAACAGGCAGTCTTTGGTTCATCCATGACACAGGTGTAATGTTCCCTTCTCTTATCCCGTACTGTGAAGCACCCAGGTTTTTTTAAATGGTCTAAAAGACAGAAGAGCAAGAGTACATTTGTGGTGGAACATATTGTCATTTGCTCACAACTAGTTGAAATACCATTATCCCTTTTTAACAGGTTTAAGAAACAGCCTTACGGCATACACAATGTGTAACTCTTCTTATTCCCTGCTATTCATAATATAGATTGCATAAAGGCCGACAAATCCACATTTATATAAGCATTAAGCATTTGCTGTATTGAAAAACTTAGTTCTGATATTAGTAGTACAGAATTACAGAGCATATTTTTAACACTTAGTTGTGGGTATATTAAATATGGTGTTTCACGGATTGGAGGAAGATGGGTATTTTCACCTTTGAATTTACTGATAACAAATTTGAATAGTTCTGCTAAGCATCAATGTTAGAATGGAAAAAAAATTAAAACTGTTTATTGTTGCTTTTTGCCATTTGGTAGCATTTTACACACAGGCTTCGATCTTCAGATTACCCTGGATTCAGTAGAAAAACCTTTTAAATGAAGCTTTGTATAATAAAAACTTCTCAGCAGTTCAACTTTAGACTGTAAAAAAAAAAAAATGCAAAACATACTTTTCTGAAAACACTTAACTTTGAACAAAGCACCAAACTACACAAATGCAGAATGAAAACAGCATTTCACCTCCACCAAAAGTAGTCATCATAAAATGTGTAAAAGTCGCCTAACTTCACTAGGCACTGTTCACTTTTTAAAGACAATAAAAATATTGTCCACAAACAATATTCTAGCTCTATGGCAGGTTTCAGAAAGTCTTCATCTTCATGCCTTAGTAGCGACGAGGTGAGTAGGATCAAGATCTGGAGCATGATCTATATCCTCCATGACTATAGTAGGGAGAAGATGACCGCCTTCTGTAAATCTGATCCTTGTCTTGGGCAGCTCTCCATCCACCTCCTCCACCACCACCTCCTCTGTGTGATCTGCTGTAGGAGTCCCGATCCTCATAGCGGCAGTCATATCCTCTGTCACAGTGATCCGGACGGCATGAACTGCTATATGTGGGTCTCCCCACGTAAATTCCTGGTGTTGAGGTATTTGGTCTTTTTGTTATAGAGAAATCAATTCTGATCCTACGCCCACCAAGTTCCATTCCATTGGCATGTTCTTTAGCTCCTTGGCATCATCTACATTTTCAAAATACTCAAAGGCAAATCCTCTGGAGTGCCTAGACTGCTGGTCATCTACAATAGACAACGTTGGCAATGGGGCCATATTTAGAGAACACTTCTCTTAAATCTCTTTCTGTGGTGGACAAGCTCGACCCAAACACTCCATGACAACCATTTGGGTCAGGATTTACTGATTCCCAACAGGATGCCTTCGAGTAGACAGGAGAATGGCTGTGACACGGGCGGTAATCTCTAAGACCTGCTACGAGAACATCTATGAGAGCAAGGTCGCCATCCTGACCTTGTATAATGCCTTCAAGAGCTTCTTCCGGATCTATCTGGACCTGGACTTTGATCTGGAATGCCTGGAATCCTCCTTGGGGGGAGACCTTGCAGGGGTATGCCTTACAGATTTTCCTGATCCATGAGCACATCCACTTCTGGAAGCAGAACTGGATTCTTAGTGTAGTGCTGATTCCAGATTGTTTCTTAACTTCATTTTTATTTCTTGTCTTCGTTCTTCCATTTCAAATTCTGACTTCTTTCATCTTTCCCACTTCACACAGATTGCTCAATAATCTATAAGTGGGACTTCCAGTATGATAATTAGCATGCGTTCTTTCTTTTATTTTTTCAAATATCAGCTTCACTTATCCCTAAGCTTCAAATACTCACTTATAAAACTTGTCATATGACGACTTCCTCATTTCCTTCATCAGCATGAACCCGTTCGACATAATTCTGATTGCCGCTGTCGCTCATGACTCCTGGCTTGACGTCTCGCTTGCAGAGCTTCAATCAAAGCTCTCAAAATCATTATTTTTAATGACTACATGAAAGCTGAACCCTTTCTGTTTTATTAATCTGTCATTCCTAGTACCTATGATGATGCTCAGTAAATTTAGATGAGAGAATATAGGATGATTCTAAGATTATGTGTTGGTGCCAATGTACTTCAGTTCAAATGCAAGAGGTGTCTTAATGTCTGTGCCTTAGTTTTCAGACCTAAAAATAAAGGGATGGTGACTATTTCTGATATGTTGCTTTTGGTTTTCGGTTTGGTTTGGTTTGGTTTTTTTAGGATCAGGTCAGTTAGCCTCCATGAAGCATAGTGTTTAGTATATGATAAGCAACCAGTTAACATGAGTTATTATAGTGGATGCATGAAATTAACTTGGTTCCTCTAAGACATTTCTTGTTTTTGCTGTTACAGATAACTATGCAATATCTTCATATAATATTTTGCTCCTGTTTAGTTATTTCCTTATATGTAATTGCTAGAAATTAGACTGCTGGCTCAGAGTTATCAAAATGATAACTTTTGAAAGAAGTTAATTTTCTGCTTTTGAAGAAATTTTGATGATATGAAAAATAAATACTACCTAATACAAAAGCAATGATAAAGAAAAGAAACCATGAATTTACTGGACAACAACAATTCAGTAAACTTTCACTTTGTTCATAAAACTATACAGACATACCAAAGCTGCTCTCTGTTCATTTTAGTTAATGTAAGTATTTCTCAATCTACCATATGCTTTGTCCCAAGTTGGGTGTTAATCAAAGGAGGAATAAAAGTCATCTACTTCTTTAAAAATTCAAAATCTGTGTACGAAGGTAATATGTGAAGATGAGACTACGTAAGTAGGTGTCAAGTTGCATTTTTAGCCTGGTGGTACATGCCTGTAATACCAGCTAAGGCAGGAGGATCACCATAAGTTTGAGGCCAGCGTGACCTGTGTAGTGAAACCCTGTCCGCCCCAAAATTTTTTTAAAAAGATCTCAAATCCATGGTCCAGGCCCTATTCGGCATAAATAGCTAAGGAATTAAAAGTGGGTGCTGGCTTGACCTAAGTGGCAGAACTAAAAGTACTTTCCAAAGACCATACCAACTGGCAGCAAAGGAAGAAGTATGTTATCACCCAAGTGATGACTAAATTAAGCACGACTTTCTTCTTAGAATCTTGCCTTTAGTAATTGTTTCAATGCACTCTAAATGAACAAGACAGCTTTGCATTTAAATATCAGCACCAGGAAATGTTCACTGTTGCCACTATAAGGTGAAGGGCCCCTGGTGCTTGAGCTGTAAGGTTTAGCCAGGGGAACCCAAGGAAGTCACTCAGGAATACAAATGGCCAGGGGCCAACCTCAGTCAAATACTGCAACTGTTTGTCCATTAAAAAAGCAAAATCATCTCCACTGGTTCTGAAGATGCATGGTCACGTGTCTTAAACAATCAAGATCTCATAGCACGGCTTCACTACTCTTCAGTGTCTTCTGCCTCCCTGTGAGGAATTAGGGGTTCCAACTGCTTCACATCTCTTAGATGAGCGAGATCACCGGTTTCCAGGAAGCCAAACCTGAAATAGAAGCAAAGCCCTCTCATGCAACTGAGAAAGACTTCCTAGGTGCCAAAAAGCCTTTCTATAAGGGGACAACCCCCATATAAAGTGCTTTGTGGCCTTTAAAATGGCCTGTCAAATATTATTCTTGTGCCTTATCCAGTAGTTATTAACCTACCTACTACCCACAGACTCTCAGGAATTGACAGGCTGCAGATGCCCCCAGAAGGCTTAAACCTCTTAGATATCAACAGAAGGAACTGCTTTGCCCAAACAGGTTACAAAGCAGACAAATGAAACTGTCTTCCTTATATGGTGAAAAGCACCCTGCCCCTTTAAGGCCAAGAGACCTGGCTGCAGACAATCCCTGGGAAGTTTGCCAGCAGCCCTATCCTGTGTCCGCTCTTTGCTGCTGTGCAGGTGAGTCCCCAAACCCTCTATCCCCACTTTGCTCTGTGCAATTGCTTTCTGGTAGGTAGTAAACGCTTTTCAGAAAGGACTAGAGGATCTCAGGATCAGGAGAGAAGGCGTTGTTTAGACAAGTTTGAGTAGAAGCAAAAAACTCGGGAAATGTGCAGTAAGGCAGCCAGTGAAGATGAATCCAACTTCCTGGAAAATGAACCACTAAGGTTACTGCAGGCCCAGGGGCATTCCAAGACAGGACACAGGAGGCCGATTCAATGGGAAAAAGGGGATAGACTCTAGGCAATGCCATCAGAGGTAATGTTTAGACTCTTGAGGGGTGTAACCTGGTTTAAAGCAAACATAGCTGTGAAGAAATAAAACTGCAAGTGCCGAAGGCTTTGAAGGAGCTGGAGCTACAGGACTGACTGTAGAGGAGAAAGTACAGACAAATGTTTCAGCATCTACAGGCAAAGAAGGCTGCAGCCTTAACCCTTTGTACAGCCTAGCTGGTTAGCAAGTAGAGTTGGGCTACCACATAGCATGGGGTGGGGTGGGTGGGGTGCATGTGCGGAGTGTGGCAGGAGACTAAATGAATAAATAAGAGTATGACTGTGGAGATGTAGCTCCGCTCTCCCCACAGTACCACATGCTGAGAAGAGATTTTTTTTTTTTTTTCTAAGCTCAGAAATTCTGTGTAATTCACAAGCAAAGGACTGGAAGAAGTCTCATTTGAGCTAATTATGGCTGTCATTTACTAATTCAGCTTCCTGATGTTTTCTGCCTAAGGCCTGGAGCCTCTTAAGCTATTACTTTGAAATGAACTAATAGAAAGTGTTTGCCAATGATAGGCTGCGATGTATATAGTTGAGGTCGGAATCTTATTGATAACACAAAAGGAGGTGGTTGTGGCATGGGGGGATAAACACGGTCATTTTACCTCACATCCAAAGTTCTTTAACTGAGCCCATTCATCAGCTACAGCCAAAAAAAAAAAAGTCCACTCAGGAAATTAAAAAGAGGGATGTACATTACAGGGCTTGGGATCGTCTTCCCTTTTAGTTGAGTCTGGGGCCGCTCATCATTCAGAAGCTAGTGGTGTCTGTTTAGTTGTTGGTTGGGGGATTGAACACAGAGGCTGGATTAAAATTCCTTACATACTCCATGCCTTTTAAAAATGTTCATTCGTCTGAGTAGTCACTGAAGAATTCTTTTTATTATTAACTAACAAGTGCTCTCTCCACTTGTTCATGCTTACAAAAACAGAATGTTCTTGAGAAAAGATTTTTGTTTTATCAACAAATTTGTTACTGTAAAGGTTTTTCTCTTCTCACTTCTAGTGGTTGGGCAAAGTAGCGAAGGTTGCACGACAAATAGAAAGACCTGTTCCTGACTCGGAAATCATAAAGGACTCCCCTTGAGCTTTATCCATGGAAAACGCCAGTGTCCCAAGCAAAAGTTAACTTTTTTGTTCACAACGTAAATTAGTGCACAGTGCATGGGTACAGTGTTACTTCATTTTGGGTAACGCGAAATACTGAAAGCAATGTAAAATATATAGCTTCCCATATGAATGCAACCAAGAAAGGCAAAATCCCACCTCTAAAGCTGGAGACTCTCTGCAGGTAAGGCAGAAGGACCCTTTATAAATGAATCAAGGCATTTAAAGGAAATGCATGCGATGACTCCCAGTCCCTTCCACTGCACCACTGTGCACAGCCCGTTCATTTTCACTCTGCCTCGGTTTCCTCAGCATTAACGTCGTGGATTACGGACAGGAACTTTCCAAAGAAGTGAGAAGACTAATGAGAGCCAGAACGGAGCACACCTGGGCTGCAGGTCCAGTCTCTTCACTTAGTCCATAGCTTTAGACCAATTGCCAGCCTGAACCTCAGTATAGTCAAACATAAAGACGTAAATAACTAGCAAGATTTTAGGGTTAGCAAAGCCAGGGGTTCTGTGTTTCTATTTTTATTTATTTATTATTATTTTATATAAGGTCTCACTGTAATCCCTGATCCTGCCCAGCAATCCCAAGAGCTGGGATTACAGGGGTGTGTGTGTGTGTGTTATTGTCACCACTCCTGGCTTTTTTTCTTCTTTTCTATTACTTGGGGAACTATATTGTTCCTTAAAGGAAGAAATGAATTTTGAAAATAGAAACCAGCTCTGTAGCACAACTCTAGAGCTACAGTTAACTTATCTTCTTTCCGCCACCTTTCAAAGAAGGATGCCCAACTTCCTGATCATTAACCAGGCTCATTGTCAGAAGTTCTTAAAGCAAACCCGCTTTTGTGTTCAGAAACATGAACAGTGGTTGGCTGTTCTCCTTTGGTATAAAACTATTCTATGTACTTGAAGATCAATGATAAAATATCTTAGCATCTTTATAAAAGTGGCCTCCTCCAAAAGTAAGGTTAAAATGCATTTTAAAGGAATTTTGTGTTGTTTTAAGGCACTTCTTACAAGTATTTCAATAATAACCATTGCTACTTTTCTATAAAATCTCCTAACACCTTCACACAGATGTCTTTAAGAACATGATTATTGTTACTTTTGTCATTTTCATTGTTCAGGGCACTTTAAGAGAAGTATTGGCTTACTGGCAACATGGCTGTGTATGACATAATTTTAAACAGAAAACAGTCTCTCCACTAGCTTAGAAAGGAGATGATAAATTTCAACCTCAGAAACATTCCACTGAAGTACACTTTACAGCCCTACATGAGCTGGGAAAGCACAGCTGCTAAGAGACAGGTCACCCCTAAGGGTGACTTCTAGCAGTGGGTTAACGCTGCCTGTCAGAAGACTAGCATTTAGAGTCCACACTTGTTGACTTAAAGTAGCTGCGAGACTCTGGACTAGCTCTTTATGAGCTATGAACTAGCTCAGTGCTATGATCCCTATAATGGGAATAATAATAATATCTGTGCACATGATTAAGGGAGGGCATGGAATGTGGCCAAGTAGGTGCTCAATAACTGGGATGGATCTGAAAGCCTAGTGATTTCTAAAAAAATCCTTGTACCTCAATAACAAGATACTAGCCCTAGACCATATATGTACCTGTATTTGTAAGTATGAGTGTGTAGCTAAGCGTGTTCAAATTCAATTTTCACTAAAAATATTCTTATTAAGTAGAACTAAAAAGATGTAGGTGCTGGAGTGATTATTCAGTATATATGCTGCAGGAATGAACTTTGGAAACAGCCTATAGTTGCACATGTTGTTAAAAAGCTGAAGGAGGGCCAGGGATTTAGCTCAGTGGTTCTGCCTCCTGCCTTGTAAGTGCAAGATCCCGAGTTCGATCCCCAGTACCAAAAATTAAAAAATAAATGCTCTAGGACTGAACGGGTCTTTGAATTGATTAGGTTCTGTGAATTTTTTTAAACTTCTAACCCCATTAGGATTACTTCTGTCTCTGGCAAATTGGTAACAGAAGTTGTAATGAGGAAAAGCAAATGGCCTACATGGAACAAATGGAATAGAGAGTCACTGGTATAGTTGCATCGAATTTCTTGACATTTCTTTGGTTTTCCATCTTCCCACCTCCCATTTACTCCCTTTGAGACCTTCAGATGTGATTCATTCATGCAAACCCCCTTCTAGGGAAGCTTGAAGAATTGTCTAGAACAGCTTCTTACCTTCAGTCAAAGCTTCACGAGAAACAACTGAGAAAGTCATCTGTCCCTCCTTAGGGAAAAACACTCAAGTTCATCCGTTGTCTGCCTACACTGCAGCTGTGTCTGAGCTGTTCTTCCTGTATCAAATTGCAATACAAGCCCATTCTCTCTTAGTATGCTGTCCCACTAGTATGCTTTACGTGTGCGGCAGGTTGATATTCAGCCTGTGGAAACAGCCACTACAGCATAGAGTGCCGATGTGGCTATAGCCCCTGGGAACACAGGTCTTCTGGTTTCTTCCAAATTAACCATCAGGTGAGCAGTCCTTCTTCTCCTCTGACTTCATCACTGCTCCTCCACCCTCCAGACTCCTTCGCTCTGTTGCAGTGGTTCCCAGACTAGAGAGCGCCCAGGACATTTACTAAAACACACTTTACTGAGCTCCATCCCCAGAGTTTCTGACCTGTTGGTCTGGCCCGAGGCCTGAATATCTGCAATTTCTCACCACTGTGCACACATTGGGAGCCACTCCTCTTGTCCATTACTGAAAATCTCAGCTCCCGTGCTCCCAGCTCCTACATGTCCTACACCTTCCAAGGTATTAGCTCCTCCCATCTTGTAATGTATGGCCTTATCCTCACCACAGCTACATGCTGTTTAGTAACTTCTAATCAAATAAGAACTTGGCTAAATTCCTTACATACACTACTGGCAAACACACATTATTTGTATTTCTTCCAATAAGTCCAAGTTTGGTATCATGAAACAAACAGATAGGTTACATACTGCATTGATAAACAAGTGATTAAAAAGAAGTTATGGTAGTCAAACTTGGATTTATCTGGGATGTTTTTACACTTTCTGCTATTCCAGAGAAAAACTTTGTTAACTTTTCTATCAACTCAAAGTCATTGGTAGCGGCTGCCTGGAGCATGAGGACTGAGAAGTCTCACCGAGGACAAGTGCTCGGCAGCAGGAGTCCTAGAATCCGGGAGCTCCTCCTGTGAGGCTGCTGGAGTGCAGAGGGGCCACATGTGTGTCCTGTGTTTGCTGCCCCCACACTGTGCTCTGCCTTGTTGGTGGATCAATTCTGTCAGGACCTAGAATCAGGTGAGAAACATATATTCAAATCTGTTTCATAGGGAGAAATACTACTTAGTCTCCCCCTCCTTTCCTTTCTGTGAAGGATGAAGCTGTTTTTGAGCCTAGACTTGAGCAGGTATATAAAGCTGTAAAATGAGATGCAGCTAATATGTAGGTAATAGTCACCAACAAGGCATTTTACCTTTAAATTATAGACGTCAATTATGCCCTTTCCATGTCATATGTCTTTCAGCGTGACCCATCTAATGGATTGCTTTAATTGAAATAGTACACTGTGACTTAATAAGGAAGTGAAACATGTCCAGTTTAGTTCCTCCCTCTATTACTAATATTCAGTGTGGGACTTGTTATTTTTAGCGTCTTACTGTTTTACGTGAAAAATGAATTGATCATGCTTTTCTGCTTCATCTTACATTTTTATGAATATGATAAAATGATATATAACTTAGTGGCATCTATTTTCTTTAATCAACAAATATTTTTTTAAATGTATCACTAGGCACTGAGGGTATAACAATGAACAAAACTGATTGCTCTCATAGAACTTACATTCTAGAGAGGGGAGACAATAAATAATAATGTATGTAAATGTGCAAAGAAAGAATGCACACCCACGTGCATGTGTGTGTATGAGAGAGTTTTGCTATTTTAGATGGGTTGTGCAGGCAAGGACTATCTAAGAAGGTAGCACTGAATGTGGGAAAGAAGCCAAATGTATAAGTCTAGAAGTAGAGCCCTTCAAGCAGAGAAATAGCTGGTGTCAAGGTTCTGAGGATGGATGTAGGCAGGGCCAAATTAAATAGACTAGTAGGGGTTTTCTGCCGAGGGTGATACAACCCCTTACCTCTGTCTAGATGTGCAAGTGAGTGATTTAAGGGCAAAACACTAGAGCTGACAGCAGAGCACTGTTGGCTTTTAATGGGCAGGGATTGGGACGTTAAGTCTCTTGCACTACACTGGATAGACTCATACAGGGTTCCTGCTTATATGTCAAAGCAAAAATTTTCCCTAAGGAGAAACCCTGAAGAGTCTCTAAGGCCAGATTAGGAGGTTGGAAACTGAAGCTAAGTATGTAGGAAGCTCTTGGAGAGTCGTAAGCTTTAAATGATGACCTTTAGTAGATCACTTTGACTACTGAGTGGAAGGTGAACTGTAAGCACACAAAAGTAAAAGAAGAGAAACTCAACAGAAAGCTATTTCAATGTCCAGAACAGAGATGATACCAGTCTGGACGAGGGGAGTTAAGTATGAAGATTCTGACACTTACTTTAACCTTCAAAAAGAAGGCTGCTGCCTAAGCACAAATTTTCTCTGTCACCTTTGTGTTAGCTTTTTCTTTTCCTTGAGAAATTTTTCCATTTCAAAATCAACTGGTTTGCTCTACATTCAAGAGAATTTTGTGACACCAAATTACAGAAGAACTTGCTCTTTCAAATGCAAGTCCTTATCCTCTTGCACCTTAACCTTACATATCCATTTGCATTTTAAGTTGTTCACTGCTCAGCAAGGTAATCTATTTGATTTCAGCTTGTAAAAAGAAAAAAAATTACATGTGCTTCTTGAATAACAATATGTGATTTCCTTCTCTGACAGGTCAATAGGAATTAGCCTACATCTATCATTTTATAAAACTGATGCCTAATCACTAGCAAGCACCAAGTGTACATTTATTCTCCTGAAAATGTAACATTAAGAGAACATCAAAATCTTTTGAAGCAATTGCAGGCATTTCAGTACTAATTTTACTTGGATATTAAATCCTTGCAAATAGTTTTCAGGTGCATCAGTTTCTCCCTCCACCCAGCAACTCAGCTTCTCAGATGTTAGAGAATCTGCCTTACCACTGACCTTCTGTCTCTCTTCCTCATCATCTTTTTCTGCACCCCCACTGCAAGTGGTCTCCACACTGCCCATAATGTCCCTACACTCAGAGGTCCACAAAACAATGATGTGGGGACCAGAGTTCACTTCAGAAGAACTGAGGTGGAAGGAGAGCCATCTCGTTCCCTAGGCTGAGTTGAAGGGCATGGCAAAAGGAAGAGAGAGGAGAGGTGACTCGCTCAGGCCATCCCCACACCAGTGGGTGGTTCCACTGAGTGGTAGGCGCCTCTGCAATCAGCGCATGGGGCTTCCTCACCAGAATCTTGTGCACCAAGTCCATGGGCCAGTAGTCACCACAGGAGGTACCCAGGAAACAGACAGTGGTGGGTGGATACTCCATAACCTCCGCCTGATGGATGGAACCAGGTACTCTACTACTAACCCACATACAGTACTACCATCCAATTGCTGAACAAAACGGAAGAGAAACCAGAAAGAGCCAGGGCCATCCCCACCTCAAATAAATCAACTTTAATTTAAACCCTTTACAAAAACCAAGCTCCCAGAATTAAAATAAATAAATAAAGCAAAACAAGAAAATAAGTACCTCCCCTCACTGTAAAACCTGAGAAGGAACCCCTGCCTTCATCTCTGGATTACAGAGTTAGGGTTAGAGTTAGGGCTAGGGTTAGGGTTAGGAGGCAGCACACTTCACTGCCAGGCGAGGACATGCTATGATTGTATATTAGAAAGGAAAAAGCAAAGGCTTTGCATTAAGAAATCTTCTTGTAGCTGCTAACTAAATGTGCAAAATTTGGACAAGTTTACCTTCTTGATTTTCTGAAATGAGTTAAAAGCTCTTTCAAACCTTGAGTTAACCTAAGATAAACTCATAATTCCACTCAAAATATTCACATAATCTCTTGCAAACCAAACCAAAGCATCCACCTCACCTTACCAGATCTGCCTCTGTGCTAATAATTTTTCAATATTGTCACTGGTGTCTCCTGAAAAATCACCCAGAACATAATCACATTTCCTCTTTCTTTTTCCCTCTATTAGCTCTTACTCTTCTCTGAAGATACAAACAATGTCATGGTTTTTTATTTGAATTTCCAGAGTTTAGCTTTGTACAGGTGTGCTTTTTAGGTGTTCAGTAAACATCTGTTGTTGAATGAATGGATAGGGAGGATATAGCACAAAATAAGCCCAAATCAATTCAAAACTCAAGAGCCAGCTTTTGCTTAAAACAATATATTCTGCCCATAAGATCCTAGACATCTTAGAATTAAAAAGAGAAAAAACGGAGTTTTAGATATTATGGCTATAATTTTTAGGCATCACAATTTCTAATATTCTCTGTCTCCACTGAGATGCACTAGTTTCATAAGGATTCAGAAATACTAAAGTTTTACCTAGACTTTATGAAATATATTTATAAAGAGCTACTATAAAATCGCTGAGTAGAAATTTCCAGATCTCTTATTCCATGATTTCATACCTAAACTCATCCCAAGAGGAAAAAAACACAGCCTAAAAAGACCAAAATGAAAAGTTTAAAACAATTTGCCTCTTCTCTGTAAAAGTTCTGCTCCTTTCATTTATTTAAAATGTGTAACTACTAAAGGCTCATAGTTAAAACTGCTAAAAAGAAAAACAGGAAAGGTCATATGGGCTCCCAGCCCCAGACTGTCTAGTTGAGTTTCCAAAAATGGTAAGGTCTTGTTGGTGTAGTGCTGGGAGGAACCTTCTTGGTGGCTAGGAGGGGTAATAGAACTGGCAAACCCAAGCCCAATCCCCTTCCAGGAACTGAGATTTTTCAAGACAGGCAGGATACAGCAGCAAAAATTTTGGACCACAGTCAAATGTTTGAATCTTATACTAATCAGAGAGGACATACAAGAGTGATTCCAGACGTCACTGGAAAAGGGTCAAAAGGAAAGGGAAATGAAGTCCATTGTGCCCCTTCCTTACAGCAGGCCCTCTGCAGAGCAAATGCTGTCACTGGGGAGGTTACTGAAGGGCTAGGTCAGGGAGGTACTGCAAAAGTTTGAAATCGCTAATGGTCTCCTCAGGGGACACTGACGGAGCATTTTCTTGAAAATATCATCCGTGAGGCAAAGAGTATCACGCGTCTCCAAATCATCATTGGGATTTGCATTGTACGGCTCATTCATCCAATTTTCTAAGTTCTGTTTGTGAACAAGTGTCATGAACTCAATTATTTTTATTTTCCTTCTACTCTGTAAGGAAGTAAGGCACTTGGACTCTTATTAGTGCAGTCCTGGAAGCGGAGGCAGGGACCCCTATGAGACTATAATGAAAGTGTAGGTTTAATGACAGCAATAAACCTTATTCCGGCTCATTTTGGTTACACTCTTTAAAGTGTTAGTGAACTTGAGTGTAAACCTCCCAAAGCTGATTCATCTTTCCAGCTGTTGTTAGAGATGAAGACAAACTCATATTCCCTGGCCGTTGCTTTCAGCTGGTTCCTTCTCAACTTTCACTTCTCCTATGCTAAATGGAATCTTAGTCTTTTCATAAAAGGCAGTTGCTCTAGTCTTGGCTACTTTGTGGAGTTTTTTGCCCTAAGTTTGTATTAGAAAAAGGACATTGAGACATTTTTTAAAAATAGCCCTATGTGCCCTATAAGAACACCTCTACATGTGTTAAAAATATGGAGTCCACCAAAAATTGGGAACAGCCCAGATATCCTTAACTGGTCAGCAGTATGATAAACTGGTACATCCAAGCTATGGAATACCATTCAGCAATAAAGAGAAATGAACTATGGACGCACGGAACAATCTGGATGAATCGCCACAGAACGCAGCGAAGTGAAAAACACATCTCAGCATGTTCCATGTTGTATAATTCCATTTATATAACAGTCTTGAAACAGTCAGAGAACAGAGCTGGAAAACAGACTTGTGGTTGAAGAAGATAGTGGGGCCATACAAGGGTGACATGAGGGCACTTTATAACGAAGGGAAGGAATATCCTGTGTCTTGAAGGTGTCGGTGTCCAACCCTGTTTAAATCTTTTCCTGTGGTTTTGCAAGATGTCACCATTGATGGGAAACAGGGTAAAAGATGCAATGTGAAAGTATACTAACCTTAAAATAAAAAGGCTAATTTAAAAATAATTAGCTAATTGGACACAATGGTGCACACTTAAAATCCCAGTTACTTGGAAGCCTAACATAGGAAGATCACAAGTTAGAGGCCGGCCTGAGCAACTAGTGAGGCCCTGTCTCAGAAAAAAAACAAAAAGAAATTAAAAACGACTTAGGGATATAGTTTAGCAGTGCACCCCTGCTGGGTTCAATTCTTGGTACCAAGAAACTAAACAGCTAAATGACTACACAGAGATGAGCCTCTAAATAAGAATTAAAGAAAAAAGAACACCCCCAATTTAAAATATTATCTATATCTATATATCTTATAGATTACAGTAAAGTCACAAGGAAAGGCAAGTGATTAAGCTAAATTTTAAGACAGTGTTGAAAGGAGGAAAAACAGAAAAAATAAATATCTTCAGTGTGGATCTGAAAGGCTCCAGAATATTTTGGTTTAAAATGGAGAGTTACGGAAAGCTAGTGTTCATTTATGCTTTTATTCCTTGTTTTGTATATATGATAATAAAGTATACAGATAAATTGTAACTCCTTCCAAAAACAGTCTCGAGGTCTGAAAGCAGCCAATCACAAACTTTAAAAAGTGCCCAAATAAAGCCGTTACTCTCTAAGTAAAAATGTAAAACCCCCAGAACTAGTACACAGCCCCCACCTTCACGTCCTGCCCTCCATCCCTTCCTTCCCCTTTCTTGCTCTCCCTCCTTCTTCCTCCTCTGGTGCACATTTTGAATAAACTTTGTGGGTGTGAATTTGAAGAACACTGCATTTGAGAGAAAGCACACCGCAAATGCAGAACCGGTTTAGCACAGGTTCTTTTCCAAAGTGGAGAGGTCAAAAGAATGCTCACCTCTGGAAAACTAACCTTCTGCTGCAAAGTCTCCAGGGAAGAGAACCTGTTGATGATCAGAATGTGTGGGATGGGGCTGCTGTGCCACCATCCATCAGGTGAGCAGCTCGCCCTACCTTTCCTCGTGTGCAGAGCAGGTAGACATGTTCTGTGCCCCAGCCCAATATTTTTTATTTGCTTCACACTTCACATGCGTTAAATAGCTCTTTTTTCAGTGCCTTGCTTAGCCAAGTTCCCTGTATTTGATTGCTTTGATCTTTCTGCTAAAATCAGTCTCTTCCTCTAATTATTTTTTGCTCTACTTCTTTGAATCCCTTCCAGTTGCCTCCATTTCTCAAGGAGCCAGGTACGAATAAAGACTCGAGATTAGGTTCCGGCAGAACAGGTAGAGGCAGCTGCTTGTCCCCAGGTCTCATGTTGCCTCCTCTTTAAGCAGCAAAGGTGGTCTACCAAAGGCACCAGATATTCCAGTCCTAAGCACAGTGCCTGGCACATGGCAGGTACAGTAAGCAACTACCAAATGGAAGAGCTAATTGGTATCTCTTAAATGAGCTAGATCATATTCTGACTTGTGCTTAATTTGCTTTTCCATTCCACCCTCAGCCCAGGTCTTTTTCTGCTTCTGGGCTTTTCTTTATGGTCTAATAGTTCCTTCATACTTATTTCTTTCATGCTTTAGTTTACACATTTTTAATTTCCTACTCATAGATTTAACCTCATTAGTTTAATATATGTTTTAAGATTTTGCTAGTAATCTTATGTACCAGATTAGCATTATTTATAAATTAATGTTTTATTCCTTTTTACAAATGATTCATAATCATGTTAATATTCTTACATTTTATTACTTTATCTCAATGTTTGTTATTTTTCTCAGTGTTTTTCCAATCAACCACAGTGCAAGGTTCCTCATCACCTATGATTCTGCAAAGGTTTGGAATAAGAAGAATAAAGACCATTGTCTTAAATTATATAATAGTCGGGGGCTTTCTTCAAAATAATCTAATGAGGTAAGGAAAAGGTTGCTAGAGTTGAGTGATAGGTACATGGGGGCTCTTTGTAATGCTCAGTTATCCACATATTTTTACAACAAAGTTAAAAATGAAAAATTATCACTGGGCATAGGGCACACGCCTATAATCCCAGCACTTGGGAGGCTGAGGAAATAGGATTGCAGTGAGTTGAAGGCCAGCCTGAGCTACATAGTGAGATTGTATCTCAAACAGCAAAGTGAACAAAATAATTGTATTTTTAAAGTCAAAATAAAACTGGTCTATATGAATTATCTGAGGATTTACAGAAAGGGAAGTTCTCCAACATCCTATTCCTGTGTTTGTCACTGTCATCTGCTGGTGGTCCAGCCACTCCTCACATTCACTGAGAGGTTGGCTACTCTCCCCTCTTCTTTGCTTTCCAAACTCAGCTATCATTTACACCCCATTACATCACCCTGGTGTGTGGCTTATCCAACACCTTACATCAACAACACTAATAATCTACATTTTCACTCTTTCCCAGAAACTCACTTCCCTTTGATTTGCCCCTAAATAACTTTTTAAATAATGCAGATACATACATGCTGAAGATCTAGCACTCTGGCTAAGGCCTTCAGGTCATATTTTCATATAAAATTTATATTTTGTTAACGTCAGTCAACACATAAAATACATATAATCCAACCATTCTTGGCTTAAAATCCTACAGGCCTCTTTATTAACTTCAAGTTGAAACTCAACTTTCTTATCCTTCACATCCGACCTTTCCTACCATTTCTAGCCTCTTTGCTGACATCTTCCAGTGTTTACTTTTTCTAGCTATATCAAACTTCTTTCATTTGTGGGTGGCAAGCCATGGTTTCTTATCTCTCCAAACTTTTTTTAAAAAGTACTTTTGAAAATTTTTTGGTTTTTGAGATAGGGTCTCACTATGTAGTCCAGGCTGGACTTGAACGCACTACGTAGCTCCGGCTGGCCTCAAACTCAAGGCAATCCACCTGTCTCAGCCTCCTGAGTGTTAGAATTAGATGAGTGCACCACAGTGCCTGGTTCGTCTTCAAGCTGTTGACCATACTATTTCCCCAGATTAGTGTGTTCTTCTGTCACTCAGCCTCTGGGACACTTTAGCAATTTTTGTTTACATTTCAAGACCCTACTCATGTTATCGTTCCTTTGAAAGGCTTCCCTGAGCTATCCACAGTGAGCTGTCCACATTAAGTTAAATTCCTCCCCATTACCTTTTTCATAGAATGCTTTGACTATGCACACCTTGACTCTGAAACCCAACTTCAGACACTGGTATTCTTTGCTTTCTTTCTAGACCATGAGTTCTTTAGCCTCCTTCAGCCTTCTCTCCCTAGATCCCAGCCCAGAGGCTAGTGTTTAGTAGAGATTTGGATTCATAAGCAGCCAAATGGACAGAGGCATGAGTAAACAGATATTGTGCTATCGCCCTCTGGGAGTGCCTCCCCACACAAGGGTCTTCTTCAGACGTGTGACTGAAGTTAATGGTTCTGGGAAACCCCTCCAGTCCTTACCTCTTAACTGTCCTCCTTAACCCACCTGACCATCGGGCTTCAGCCAAAAATATGTTGTCTCTGTTTCTGCTGAGTCCATTGATAAATGCATTCTGGCTGTCTTCTGTTTACATTCATGTATATTCAGGAAGAGGAGGAGTTAGAACACCAATCCTGCAATTTCACAGAGAATATTGTTTAGGAAGTATAGGTAGTGCTGAAGTAATCAACCTTACCCAACCTCATAGGGATAGGACAAGTGCTTAGGCATAATTATAGATGTTCCAGGTCATCCATAACTAAACCCTCGGCTGTGCCCCTTAGAAGCACAGACCACCAGCCCCGCAGATACGGAGGAACTCCCTACTGCACAGATGTCTCTGCTTTACTCACTGGTGCGTGTTGAAACATCATTTTCTGAAGTTGCAAAGCATATACGAGCACACGTAGTTATAATAGTTTTTAAGCTATCCAACTATATCCTTGTGTGAGTTCACATTTTTAATGTGCAGTGCACCAATATAAAAATTGACAGATTGTCTCATTGATGGGAACGTTATCTTTGTTTCAAACTACCAGAGTACCCAGCTATTTGATCAAAAGATTGATCATTATAAAAGAAATTTATCTTCAGTCATACATTGTATAAGTTGATTTATCCTGGTTTTCATTTGCTACTTTGCTTTGGGTTTTTAAATTTTCATAGTATTTTATAGAATTTATTATGATATTTCATCAAGTTTAATATGCTATTGGTGTATAAAACATAGTATTTTTGGGGTCATTAAGAACAACGGAAAGGCTGACACAGGAGAATCAAAATTTGAGTCCAGCCTAGTCAATTTAGCAAGACCTTGTGTCCAGATTAAATTTTTTAAAAACCTGGTGTACAAATTCCCTATGATTAATGTTATCATTATGTATATCTGTAATATACCAATCAAAAATAAAAAAAATAAAAAGAGTTGGCGGTAGCTCAGTGGTAGAGCGCTTGCCTGGCATCTATGAGGCCCTGGGTTCAAGTTCTAGTACTGCTCCCCCCAATAAAACCAGAACTATTTTCAATTATAAATACAAGATGCCATCAACATCCCAATTTCAGAGATATTAAAAGTGTGTTTTGAAGTTGATGTTATACACCATTTCTACTCTAGGAGATTATACATGAATTCTATTGATAATAGTGAAATGAAGTTTCTTTTTTGAATAAATTTAACTTAAAAATGACTTGATTTAAATAAAATTATCATAAATAAGAGTAGAAATAAAATATAATATGGCAAGATCCGGGAGGTAGAACCCAAGTGATTGAGGCTTACCTTGTGCCAGCTGTAGCCAACCCCTCTACCCTACAGCATTCTGTTCAGTTCTTACCTGAGGAAAAGCTATATATAGTGAGGGAGAGAGGTTTGGGTAATTATGCCAAAGCCCTGTTGAGAAATGTGCCTATAACTCACCAAAGTCATTTTATGAAAGTGAAAGAAATTCCTAGGAAATAGACTCATTATAGATACTGGAATAATCTAGACTTGCCACTATTTAAATAACAGTATACTCAGAGATTTCTGTTTTGTTTTTAATCTATTCTCCCATAAGGAAGGAAAAAGGCCTTTTAGTCTCTGTAGCTGGGTAATCTATTTGTAAATAATGGCTAACCAAACACTAAGCATTTAGTTTCTCTTATTATCAAACCAAACAATGGTCTACTTTATTTTTATAATAGATATGCCAGTTAAAAAAAGATTATGAGTAACTTGAAGCAAAATGTATTGCATTAGGAAAGTACAAGATATAGCTAATTTCCTACTTCCAGAATTTAAAAAAAAAAGTAAAGAGAATAATTTTAGAGGGAGCAGGAGAAAAGTGCTCAGTTTCTTTTGGGAAAATGCTGGCCACTGCAGTGAGTTTGTGTTCCTGGCACTCACAGCTTGCACTCTGCGCTCAGTCAGGCCCTCAGGTACCAGAAGCTGTCTGCAGCATTTCTCTGAGAGTCATGCAGAACCCTCTGATTTAAATGGTGCTTGTTCTTGAAGGTTATTGTGACTCATTAACCAGAATGCAATAGAGCAGGAGGTCACAAGTCATATAGGCTCTGCTACCTGCATACAGCCTGTATTTGCAAACTTAATTTTGAACATTTTAATATAGGTGTAATTGAGAAGATAAATTGAACACATATTCATTTCCTAATAAAGGTATTCTTTAGAGTCAGCAAATATTCACATCGCTTTAAACATCAATGAACCTATTACAGTATAATAAAATAGAAAGGTCTTATAACAGAAGATTATTTATAGGCTATTAGTTATTAGTGTAATTTTAAAGTGTAATCAGTAACGATTAGAAAAATTGATAATATTGGATATGCAGCTGTTTCCACTCACTAGTACTAATAATACTAGCAATAATTCTAAATACTAATGTCAGTTGAGAGCTAAACCCCTTCTAAGTGCTTTGTTTATCCTTATGGATGCTCTTGTTTATCAGATCACTGTGGAATAACTATAAAAACTATTTCCTGATAGTCATAAAATTTACTGATGTGGTCATATGTTAAATTCTCAAGTTAATAGAAGTATGGTAGAATAAAACTGTAGGAGACCTTAGTCCAGCACCCCTGTCTCCAAGCAGATGCAGTGGTAAAAAAGCCAAATGTATGTAGCAGACAGAATCCCTAGCTAGCACTGAGTGTCTCATACTGGAGGCAGAGCTCGAGACAGGGATTTGGGCGCAGGTGATTTATGGAGAGAAAAACTTATAAGAAAGTGAAAGGAGCAAAATAGGGAGGGAAGAAGTGCCAGGGAGAATGAATAATCAGAAAGTTTGTCCTTGGCCTGATGAAAGCTAAGAAATAAATTTTACCATAAAGGACAGCTTTGAGCCTTTTGTATCCAAACCCAGCAGCTGGGGGTGGTTACAGTGAAGAGAATCAAGGATCTGCTCTGAGCACTAATGGCAGTAACTGCATTTGGTAACGGGACCAGAGAGGAGGAGATCAAGGGTGGACCCCAAGTTTGCGGCAAGAACGACAGGGCAGATTGTAAAACATGAAACCATAACACTCCCCTTATGATACCAAAACACTTAGGATTATAGAAAAAGTACAAAAGATTCCTTATTTTACAAAAAAAAAAAAAAAACAGAAAAACAAAAAAAAGTTTCTTTAGCTTTTCCGTTTCTAGGTTAAAATATCAACTCTTTGACACATTTGCATAGAACTGATTTTCCATTGAAAACATATAAACTTTTTAAAGGATCACTTTATCTTTTCCACTTAGTCTGCTTCCTGTGGGAAATAGAAACTAATTCTATTACCCTAAGAATTGACGATACATCTAGCCCGATAGACATCCACCTCATGGTTTAGTTTCTTAAACTACGGTCAGTAGAACAAAGACAGCCTGTGACCTGTTTTTGAGAGGCCTGAAAGCTAAGAGTTTTTACGTTTGCCTTAAATAATAATAATAACATACAACAGAGACTGTTGCGTGGGAAAATATTTACTGTGTAGCCCTTCACAAAAGTTTACGATCGCTCCTTCAGTCTATTTGACCTCCCATTTTTTGGAACTATACTATTTCAGTCTATATCAAAGACTTCAAATTAGCAGATGATTTACAGAACTGTAAAACGGTTTGTATTCTAAAAGCATTCAATACAAAATTTATATAAATTAATTTTAGCTCTTCTGAATAATTTTTTTCAGTTCTAGAGGTTGAAACCAGGGCTTCATGTATGCTAGGAAATATCTCTACCACTAAGTTATATCTTCAGGTCTTTTTAAAATTTTATTTTATGACAAGTTCTCCTAGGCTAGCCTCAAACTTGCAATCCTCCTGCCTCAATCTCCCAAGTAGCTATACTTACAGGTGTGTGCCACCATACCTGGCTGAACAATTAATTTTTAATGGAATTCTCCAACAAATTTTAAAAGCATTCATTTTAAGTAAATATGCATAATTTGTCCTCTATTTCATAAAAATATTACCACTTATTTTGTAATTATTCTACAAATAGACAAGGAAGTGAAAAAAATCACCTGCAATCTTACCGTCCAGAGTTAACCACTATTAACATTCAGCTACATTTCTTTCCTAGGCACATAACCATTTAATTTTTTTAAGATGTGGATCATGTTGCAAGTATAATATTATACCTGCTATTCTCACTTAATAACTGTCAAAAACATCTTATTTGACTGTGTTCATTCCACAGAATGAATGTCACAATTTATTTAAATATATCTTCCCATTTTTTGACATTTTAGGTTGAAGCTACTGTTTCACTACTACAAACACCTCGGTGAGGACCTTTACCTTTAAATCTGGGTCTCTGCTGTGTCTAGGCTTGGTTTTTAAGAGTAGCCATTGCCCTTTCACCTTTCTGCCCTCGGTCCTCACAACCTTACAACCTCGTGCTTCCCCTGATCCTATAAATGAGGGAATTCCTCAGGGCTTGAAACTGGACCATCTCACTCTGTCTTAAAACCACGTTACCCTTCCCTAAGCTTTCACATACCATCTATATGTTCCTCTGTTTGTACCTCCAGCCCCACATCTCTCTTCTAGCATCTGGACCTACCTATTCAATTATCTATTCCCACTTGTATGCTTTATTCCATATGGAAGAATTCAATATCTTTCCTTTTTCTCCTGTACAAAAACCTCCTTCTCTTTATTGCCCCTTTCCATCAAGTGACAAGTTTGCCACCAAGTTGCTCGTAATACAGCCTGGAAGTGACATTTTCTTTCTCCCACACCATTCCCATCTATTCGGACACCAGGTCCTCCTGATGCTACTTCTAAGTATCTTTACCATTTGTACTTCTCTCATTTTCCCAGCCTCTCTTCCTGGGACTGCTGTGTGCGCCCTAGGGGGTTCTCCCCACCCTTGCTGTGCCCTGTCCTATCTTCTCCTCCATTCTACACCATGAGGAGCATTTCTAAAAGTGTCATCTGCTTTCACAACCCACGAATGGCTGAGAGGGTAAGAATCTTAGCAGCGAGTTCTCTTCAGCCCACTCTCATTTTGCTCCATTTAGTAGTTTCCTTCCAGTTACTTGAATGTGCGAAGTTTCTTCCAGTCTCAAGTCCTTTTTCAAGCTATTTCTTCTGCCTGTGACACCCTTCCCTCCCTCTTCAGCTAGTCAACCACACACTACCTACATGCTCTGTCAACAGCATGTGAGCCACTTTAGGGGTACATATTACAAGTTTTTAATCCAAATTGGTAGTATTTTTCCCTGTAATGTGTGTTTCTTCACTAAATAAGTTTGATTTTAGGTGAATAGTATCTTTCTCTTTCATCATCACATCACAGTGTCTGGCAGGTAATAGGTGCTCAGTAAATATTAGTTAAATTAATAACAGGAAATAGGGTAAAACTGTACAGATTTTAAAATGATACTATCAGCTAGCATTTTAGAAATTGTTTGTATCAAACAATTTATAAACATATCAGTAAATGAGAGTGTTCTTTGATCAAACCTGATAGTACAGTTTTGAATAATTTTTAAATACTTTCACAGAAAAAAAATTACCTCATTTCTACTGAAATTGCATTTCTTTGGTTACTAGTATTTTTCACACGTTGACAGTTTCTCATGTATTTTCTATCATGTTTAAAATTCATGCCATATTGCTTTGATTGAACCATTTTTGTTGGGATGATTTAGAAGTTTATTTAATTCTCTTTCTACTTAGCAAACAGTGCCACCAAACCTGCTTAACTTTTTTCTGAGGATTTGGGCTGATTTGGACAAATGACCCTCCTCTCTGAAGTTTACCCTGGTTATTAATGAGTCCCCTTCCCTTGGATGACTATATACTTTATCAGGTCAACTGGGACACTTTGGAGAGAAAAAAGAGAACACTGTTAATTACAGCAGGTCAAGTATAAAGCAGGACAATCCTGCACTAGTCTCCTAAATCTTGTTTCCACGCAGACTTAGAATGCTGGGGGATCTAAAGCAGAGGTCCGAATGGCAATCCAGTGATTAATTAAGGATGAAACTTGCTTTTTTTTGTCTTGAATCTTGATTTAGATGTCTTTTTTTTTTTTTTTTTTGTTCTCA